CAAGTGCATAGTACACAGAGTACATAAGAGTGAAGAGTACCCGACTTATACCCGACTTATCTACATCTCCGTGTATTTAAATACTGTATTCTTTCTAAAGCCGGAGCCAGCACCGTGCCATCGATCGGGAATGCAACCCTTACCATGGATTGGCGTGGTCGAGCGCGCGAACGCGAGGTAAAGTTGCGCCTTGTCGGCGCCGCGCGCAAACCTTCCCATGGATTGGCGTGGTCGAACGCGCGAACGCGAGGTAAAGTTGCACAATTTTTCCAACATGTCGGCGCCACGCGCAACCCTTCCCATGGATTGGCGTGGTCGAACGCGTGAACGCGAGGTATAGTTGCAACTTTTCGGCGTGACGCCCAACCCTTCCCATGGATTGGCGTGGTCGAACGCGTGAACGCGAGGTAAAGTTGCAATTGCAGTAGTTGTACAGTAACAGTAGTAGTACAGTAGTAGTACAGTAGTACAGTAGTAGTACAGTAGTAGTACAGTCGTACAGTAGTAGTACAGTAGTAGTACAGTAGTATAGTACAGTAGTATAGTACAGTAGTAGTACAGTAGTAGTACAGTAGTAGTACAGTAGTAGTACAGTAGTAGTACAGTAGTAGTACAGTAGTAGTACAAAAGTAGAGCAGTAGTACAGCAGAAGTACAGTAGTAGTAGTACAGTAGTAGCAGTACAGTAGTAGTACAGTAGTAGTACAGTAGTAGTACAGTAGTAGTAGTAGTACAGTAGTAGTACAGTAGTAGTACAGTAGTGGTACAGTATGCAAGGCGAAGACTCTCCGAGGCTTCTCTAAACCTCAAAACACACACGCGCACCCTCTTTTGCCCGCGTGGTCGCAGGTCACGGCTTGAGCCAAAACAAAGAAGCAAACTACACTCACAAACTACTCGCAAACGTAAACTACACCGGCTACCTCACAGCTACGACGGGACTACAGGGATCTACTCAGAAGGCTCACGAAGTCTACCCTTCACAGTCGCCCCCATCCCTGCCGCCAAAACAGTAGCTTAAGGTGAAAAGGTAAGCCGGCACACCACGCAGCCGCCACCAAAATGGGGGCGCCGTGGGTGTGAAAAGGCACCACCACCACAGCCACGCAGCCGCCACCAAAATGGGGCGCTACGGGTGTGAAAGGGCATGGTCTCTTCCCGGGAGCCTTTCGCAAGACTAGTTTCCTGGCGATGCGCTCCGGGCACGCTGAGACAGGGCTTCGGCGATGCGGCCCACATCTAGACCCACTGAGGCGTCTACTAGTGTTTGGGCCCACTCAGCGATCGCCGCTGCCGCGTGGTCATTCTGAGACATCGTAATCTCATAAGACCACTCCCTATTGGCACGGCTACTCGTGGTGCAGTTGGAGCTGCCCGTAAGAAGGGTGAGCTCCGCGCCATGCCACTTGAGCAGCCCCTTGACGTGGCACACGCCGCGAAGCCCACTCATCATCCTTCCCCTTCCCGCCTTCTCGTACTCATTCGAGATGGGGTCCCCCTGAAGCGCAATCCTTTGCTGCTCTGCCCCGCAGGCCTGGAGCGTCTGCTTCCGGTCCAAGACCAGCAGAACTTCTGCCCCATTCCTCTGCGCAGCCGAAAGGGCCTCCGTGACCTCTCTGCGGTCGAAAGAGAAGGCTATGAGCCAGAGCACATCTCCCCTGCCTCCAAGCAGAGCTTCACGCATCTCTCCTGCATGGAGGCGGCAGAGGGGAGAAACTCTACCTTCTGCCCGCCCCCAACCTCGGTGCGACCGCCTTTGAGTGGATGGAGGGAGTGTGGCTGGATGGAGGGCCTGGATGGATGCTGGATGGAGGGGGCCTGGTTGGGTGGGGGGGGGCCTGGCTGGGTGGAGGGGGCCTGGCTGGAGAGGAGGCCTGGCTGGATGGAGGGGGTGGAGGGGGCCTGGTTGGATGCTCCCAGGTGGCTTGGGGTCTGGATCTTGTACTTATCCAGCGCCGCCAAACATGTGTGTTTGCATGGCAGACCAGAGGTCACGTACGACATGCAGGTGCACTTCCCACCCGGAGTCTTTGCCAGACCCCCAGGTGGCAGCGAAACCACGTAGTCCCACGCGGGCTACGGTCTCACTCGTCCAAACCAGTGGCCCGTGCGAGGTGCTCAAGCGGGCAGCCTTAGCCACAAGTTCTTGGGAAAAGGGCACTGCCCGAGGATCAACGTTAGCCTCGGGTTCCGCCCGGCCATGGCCTTCGCAGTCCAATTCCACTGGTAGGCTTCGGCCGCGCGGAAGCACTCCACCACGGCGCAGGAAAAGGACCACTACCACCACCCCTTTTGCGGCAGTCCCTATCCACTCCGCTAGCTCTGCTGCTTGAGTGGACACTGCATCGACCACCATCACGGCGCCGTCCGCAGCATTTCCACACATCCGCTCCAAGCTCCTCCAGACCTTCGAGGCCACAAAAACCCCCTAGGCCCGCTGCAGCGGCCACCGTCGAGGCCCTGTGCGCGTATGGGCGATTCCCGTCGTTCCCAGAGTCGGGGTCGTAGGACGTGGGCTGGGAGCGAAGCGCATCCACAGCCCCACGTCCCTTGATGCGACGGTTCCAACCATGGCGCGGGACCTTCTTGCGCTTGGCCTTCTTGCTCCGACGGCGCCCCGGCAAGGCTTCTTCAGCAGCACCTGGCTCAGGAGCCTGGTCTGCTGGCCTGTCACACGAACATTTGAAGCGTTTCGCTCTTGCTCGCATGTTCTGGACCAGGCACCGGGGACAAGTCCAGCCTGGATCTTCCTCCAAGGCTTTCTTCGCGCGGTCTTCGGCGCGAGCCGTGTACGACCGCCCGTGTGAGCGCGGCGCTCCTGATGCATCTTTCGGGTGCACGACCCACTGATAAAAATCAGCATCATACGTCCCGGTGCACGCCTTGCCGTTGTAAAAGTGCGTACACTTGGACCGGATCGCGCCCTTGTCAGATTGTACCACCCCCCAGCAGAGGTTACAGTACCAGGAGCCGGCCGGGTAGTCCAAAACCTCCGACCTTTCCGCCTCGGCACGCGCTTCGTAAGCAGCATCAGCATCACTGGCGTCAGCGAAGAGGGGCGAGGCTTAAGTCGAACTTTCGCCTCCGCCTGCTTCTGCCTATGCTTCGCCGCTCTGTTGCGGCCTCTCTCGCTTTGGAGGCTTGCCACACGCTGTCGCCACGACTTTCTCCGCGCCTTATGGCAGCAAGGCCTGCCAAGAATTGATTCGACCTCACCTTTCGCCCGGTGGCGGGTAGCTCTTTGTCATCGATTCCTATCCACTCCGTCGTCATCCGCTCCCTGGGTTACGCTCTTCCTGGATCCTTCCGCTCCTTTGCTCGCACCCTCGCCGGTGCAGCTGCCCAAGGCATTGCTCGCTTTTGCCCCCAAACCTACCTAGCCCAGAGCCCGCTACCCAAAAGGACAGGCGCGGCCCCTTGAGCCACTAGCGGCTGCGAAGGCAACTGAGCTAAGAACAGCCCTAAACACAACCACACACACAGCCTAAACGACCTCACACCTTTTCTTTTGGTACGCTTCGCGGTTGCACGGGCGGCCGGGCTCCCATCACGGAGCCCCGGGCTACCCCGCGGAACCCGCCCCAAGAACCCAACCAAGGCGACCACCCCCGGGAGTGGAAGGAGGGGTCTGGCCGCGGCGCCAGGACGCGAACAACAACCAAACAACACACCAACAGAACGCAAAAGGACGAGGTACAAACGAACCCGGTTTCCGCATCATGAGCAAACTGGTGGTTCCGGTCCGCTTCCGTCGTATACTTCTTATTTCCCTTTGCTTCCTTACTTCGCTCGACCCCGAGCCCTCGAGCGCTGAAACCAGCTGCCTCCAGAGCCTCGGCGACATCTTGGCAAGCCTCCGGCGGGGCTTTCTCGTGAACTGCTTCTGAGACTTCAGAGTCCCGGTAGGCCACTCCGTTAATCATCCGACCGCTTTTAATCGTGTGATCATCCACGTAAGCCAGCCACTGGGACGCAGCTCTTGCCACCCGACCGGAACCTCTTGCGTAGATTCGGTCCATGACGTAGGCAAACGCTTCCGGACCGTTGACCGGTCCAAACGTCAGACACGTGGGGAGAAACTGCCCACTACGTGTCACCACCGCTAACACGCGGCGTGCCCTGTCACTGTTCTGCAGCCGATTGAATCCAGTCACTGCATCGAGCATGGTCAGCCAAAGGGACCCGGCGGCCTCAGCAATAATCTCCCAAGACCTCCTCGAGAAGTATTGGGCTCTGACCGTACGCACGTTCACCCGCCGATAATCAACGCATCAATCCACTGAGCTTGCTCAGGAGAGAGCCGGTGGGGCGGCGTCCTCACGGGAGGACCAGAGGGAACAATGCATGTAGAGGATCGTAGTCCGCGGGCTTCCAGGCCTCCAGAAGGCTCCTGCCTTTCGGCTGAGGACCTCTTTCACGACTGCCGCCTCCTCGACCTTAAGGTGCTTAAGGTCGCACCCTGTCCTCCGTCAGCTGCACACCGCTGAACCGGTAAACCTCCAAAGGTGCTCGAATCTCATCCCAGGACTTGGCCTTCCCGACCTTGCTCCATTTAGCCGTTGCTTCCTTCGCAAGCTGTTCCAGCTCGGCCGTCGTAAGCGCTTTCTCAGGAATCTCAAACTCCGAGACCACTCCCTTAGGATCCGTGAGGTCAACCTCCTTCCGCTCAGACTCCTCCAACAGGATGGCGGAGGGCTGAACCAGCTCCTTCCACCACTCCTCCTATAATGCATCTCTTTCAGACTTAAGCTCAGAGCCTGTGGCTCCACACTTTGACGGGCAAACTTATACCCAGAGCTGTCCAATCGGCGAGCAGCCGCATGATTCAAAACACCATGCTTCAACAGCTCGACCTTCATGATAACCCTCTGGACAGAAAGCGTCTCCTGGGCTGAGACAGCCCCAGGCTCGACCACTCTAGCGGCTTCCACTTCACCCGCAAGTCGTCGGAGAATACAGCTGCATGTTTATGCGCCGTCACTTCTCGTTCTGCAACCACAGCACTGCTTAGAGCCCTTTCCTTGTAGGTCCGGAGCAACCTTACAGGCAATATGCTGGAATACCTTCAGGTCCGCCAACATACCTTCCCCAGGCTTTCCTGCTCCCCTCTTAGGTTCCTTCTTCGTTGGGTCGTTCTTTTCCTCAAGCATTTGCCCCAAAGACCGCGGCAGGTACTTTTCTTCCTGCTCGCGAAACCTCATAGGACGCGGCTCTGCCTTCCCGGCTTCGCCTGTTGCTTCCCGACCGCGAGCTGCTTAGACACCCGGAAGCGGTTGAGCAGTTTTGCTCTTTTAGCAGATTCCTCAGCTCGGTAGTTCAAAACCTTCACGCGGAGCTCCCTGTAACGCCTGAACAGCCTCGCCGCGTATTCCGACACGGGCTCCCATTCAAGCACTGTAAAGGGCTCCAGGTCCCGCTCCAAAGGAATCGCCATGGACCATGCTCTTTCCAGATCGCACGGAGCAATCCCCGCTTGCGTGGGCGTCGTGGCAAGGAGAAACTCTACCACGGGGAGGAGCTCGCTCCACTCGTGGGGATAAGCCCCACACACGTCATGAAGCAAAACTCCAAGCAGCTTCTGAGATTCCTGACGAAGCCGCTCACATGCTCCCATTTCAACCGGACGAAGAAGGGCAGCAAACTTCTGTTGAATCCCAACCACCGCACAGTATTCCTGGAAGACCACACTCCGAAACTCCTGTCCCCGATCCGATCTCAGGACCCGGGGTACCGTACGAGATCGAAACATGAGCTTCGAGAACGCTCGGCGAACTTCTTGCTTGGTGACGTCCCGGCAAGGCTCAAAAAGAACACCATGTCCACATACGAGAGAACATACCGGTTCCCTGCTGCATCCGCAGGCAGCATAGGTCCTTCAAAGTCCACCGTAACTTCCTCCCAACATTCCAGGTTCGTCGGCTTCACGCTCACGCTTTCCTGCTTCGTCGGTCTCTTCCGCCCTTTCGCGCAAGTGAGACACTCGTGTACCGTCACTTCAATTTCTTTCATCATGTCTTGCCACCAGCAGATCCTCTTCAGAACCCTCTGGGTGTCACGGCAACTCTTATGCCCTCCCATGACCTGATAGATCCAATGGGGCTAAATTTGCAATTTAGGCTCCCCTAAGAATTTAGGCCCCTTTGGGGGCTAAATTTGGGGGCTAAATTTAGCCACCCAAATTCGAGATTTGGGGGGCTAAATTTAGACTCCAGGGGCCCAAAAAGTGTACACACTTTTGGGTGGGCTTAAAAAAAGTGTATAAACTTTAGGGCTGGCCCGCCCAAAAGTTTATACAATTTTTGGTTGGAAAACCCAAAAGTTTTTGTACTTTTGGGTCTGCTTTATACTCCCCACACCCCACCCCGCCCCACACAACCCCACCCCACACCACCCCCACACAACCTCTGTACCCCACCCCACCTTTCTATTTACCTTCTGTACTTCGATTGCAGCTTGAGCGACGTTTTCCAGTACTTCAAAGCTGAGTTGCATGGAAGAAGATGTGCCAAGCGACTAGCTGCCATTCTGACAAGGGTTTCTGGTTGACTTACCCTAAACCATAAACCTTGCACAGTAAATCCTGAGCCCTAAAGGGTAGGCCCCAACCCCCCCAGCCTAAACCCTAAACCCCTAAACCCCTAAACCATCCCTTATTGCTGTCGGTGAGTGGAGAGTCGCTGCAACAGCGTTTGGGGCCTGGGTTGACCGGTGTAATGTAGGAACCTGATTCAGAAACTCTGGCCCTATAATATAACACCAAAATAGTAGGATTCATATAAAAAACCCGAATAAAGGCCAAAGGGTTTCTTAATCAGGTTACTACATTAGTAACCTTTAACTTTTTGAGGTACTACAACCCCTAAGATTTCTCCTAGGACATTGGGGAAGTAAGGATTGAACCCTGGGTCTCTGGTCAGGACCCGAAAAAGTCTTTCACAGCCCCCCTTCTCTACACCATTCGATCAAGAACGCGATAACCCTAAACCCTAAACACTAAAACCCTAACCCCCTAAACCGTAAAACCTGCGACTCCAAGTTGCTTCGACGAGCTCGGCACATGTTCCTCCATGCACGTCTCTTCAACTTCCGACTTTCCCATGAGAAGCCTGGTGGCTTTCGGACAGGATTCCTTCCATGCAGTCGTCAATGTTCACCCGCCAGCGTTCGTAAGGACTCCTCTCATGCGCTTGTTTGTTGCGAGGGAGGCGTCGCTTTTGGCACCTCTCAGTTCTGGCAGGCAAACCGGGGAGATCCTGTAAAGCGCACAGCACGGTTTCGCAGGCCAGAATGCAGCGGTGGAAGCCTTATCGGCAGAAGCTCGCATTCCTTTCTGCCTTTGGAAGCCGGTGGACGACCATCCCAGAAGTTATGCCAAAAGTTCGGAAGCAAAACCACGTGGCTTGTGGCCCAAAGCCCGGGGCCGTTCTTGTTGAAGGACGGTGGGAGACTAATGGAAGAGGCCTTCAGGAAACTGGGATATCTTGACCAATCACTGAACTCTGATCTACAAGAGGCTGTTCAGGTCTCCGCAAACGTTAGCAAGAACAAGCGCTTTCTGCGTAAGATGGCAACATTGCCCAAGGTTGGTGACAGCACTGCGAGTGTATGCAACAGTATTAGATCTGCTTTCCTTTCCAGTCGGAGCAGCGGACAGTGGCAGTTGCCGCCTTCGGACAAACACGTGCGCAAGCTCTTGCTCAAGGAGAATGTCTTGAAATCGACATCCAGCACACCGCAGCAAGTTATGGAGGCAATGCAACGATACTCGGCGCAGAAGAAGCTGCCTAGAATGAAAACGTACAGCGGCCATGTGTGGCAGCTGTTGTACACGATCAACCAAAAGGACCCCCAGCGCAGGGACCGAATATGGAATGACTAGTGATGCAGTGATGCACCATGTGATGGCTTGGCATGGCAAAAGAAGCCAGACGGTGGTGCAGTGCCGCCTCGGTAGATCGAGCCACATGCTATCGCTTTCCTACCTCAGATATCCCGCCGGAGCCCGCACATGTTCTTATGTGCGTATGCGTGTATGTATGTATGTATGTATGTATGTATGTATGTATGTATGTTGTATGTATACATGTGTGTATGTGTGTGTATTTATATATATATATATGTACATGTATGTGTACGCACATACATAC